AACAGGCATAGTAACACTAAGCAGGGGCCACGCATGGAAAACTCTCATCAATAAAACACTGTTTGACAAATAAGCCTGACATCAGTTAAGGGTACCCTCTTCTGCCTCTAGCCCTCACTGACTGCACACAAGTTCTTACAGACATGCATCATGTCTTTACATGACTGTGCGACATTGTCTTTGAACTAATTATAAAAGAAAACCATGCATATAGAGTTTACTGTACATATTCCTGTTAGCGCAAAGGCTTTAAATGTAAATCAAATTAGGTTAGAGATGTAGCTGAACACGTGCATGTCTTAATTGCCTATGACCTAAATGAGAAGAAAACAGCATCCCACAACAAGATATCACTTTCCTACTAATCATGTTTAGACCTTTACACAGTAGCACATGGCTTGACATTCTCCCTTAGGGTTTAGGGTCTAACTTATTTTCACTAAGTGCTGTCATTCATTCAGTCTCTCTGTTTTCTCCATCAAAAAATGGGCCGCAGTGAGTAAGGAGGGCTGCATGCCTGCACAGTGAGCGCAGCGTTTCATGTACACAGGCTGGAATGTGACGCAGTTGACCGTCGGTGTCTGATAGCTGGCATCTGCTAGGTGGGCTCATTCCACCGCAGCACAGCAGAGGCTTAGGTGGTACTGAGAGAAACTCTACACCTCTGCAAGGCAGGCAGGGGCATGAGAACACAGCATCACTAATGCTCATCAACCATGACCCCTGCCAGGGACCCTGACGAGCACATCAGTTTAATGTATCCATCTGGGATTGGCAGAGCGGCAGAAGGCTCACAAGTCCACTGCAAACTCAGAGATTACAGAAAGATGGTCACTATAGACAGACAGTAGGACTGATGGATAAATAGATGGATGGATGAATGGTGTAATGAAAGAATGGCTGGGGTGGGTAGATGAATGAATGAATGAATGAATGAATGAATGAATGAATGAATGAATGAATGGAGAGACTGATGTGTCATTGGATAGCCTGTTCTCAGTATGCATGCTGCTTGGATCATTACAACAACAGCAGTGATGAAGTAAGAACAGACTGAGTCAGAGAGGATCACTTCCACTGATGTCAGAATTGTTGATCTAGTTCTGGGAAACTAGCTTTAACAATCTCATCACTTCTCAGCTGTCAATTTCACAACATGGGTTGCAACATGTGCGATCATGGAAAATGTGCTATATAAGACCCTTGACAAATCTACATGCGAGGTGTAAAAATATTTTGATCAATCTGGCTTCAGACTGTATAAATGGATTAAGCTAGTGAAACAGCATACTTGTATTCATATTTCATATGATGCCAAGTTTAGCAAATGGCCAGCTGTAAAGTAGGTTTGCCACAAGGCAGTGCTCGAAGACCTGAGCGAAGAGAACACAGCGCTTGATGAAGAGGAAGTACTGCTGAAACACAATGACTTTTAAAAGAGTCCACAATAACACCATGTCTTTCTCATGATTCTGTGGATTTTTTAGTCTTGTGCTTCACTTCAGTGCCAGAGGAGCTGCACACTGTACTCCAAACATTCACAATTAGCAGACACCTGCCTACTGCTTGAATTAGACTTAATTTATTACCTTTCATATTAAATATAAGCAATTCTTGGAGGTGTTTAAGAAGAAAACATTTGTGAAACACTTATTTAATAAACTTATTTTCCCAGCGTTTCTCTTCCAAGTCAAATGCTTACAGCTGTGCTTAGACTGGTGTATGAGCACAGCTGCTCAGACTTCCTTCTCCCGTGACACCAGGCTTCTGCTCGGGGGATGCTGAGATGTTTCCAAGCCAGCTGAGAGACAAAGTATATCCCGACTCTGCCCAAGGGTCTTTTTCCTCTTTGGCCATGTCTGAAACACCTCACACGCTGACCTTGTGATTCTATCTCAGATGGGAAGCTTGTCAGCCTTGCCTTTGCAAATGGCGCCGTACGACAAGGGTGATGCAGCATCCACTGGTGCGAGCTAGATTTTGGTGTCATTTTAGCCTGTCGTGCACCTCTCAGTTTTTGTAAGCAGATGTAGGTTCTGCGGCTGCTTTTACCAACATTTTATTGCTCCACGAGTACAGAAGCTTGTGGATTCACAGATTATACAGAGGACGATATTGCAATAGTTTGAAAAAAATGAGACTTCTGCTTCCAGTTTTAACTTATTCTCATTGTACAGCAGCGCTGATGTGAAGGTTTTGTCTGAGTAGTGACACCTAGTGTTCATGAAAATACTGCAGAAAGTAACCACGCCCTCAGTGCTGGTAGAACTGCTATAGAAATGTGGCGACACGCGCCTAACAACACAGCCTAACAACAGGTATAACAGGTCTATAAGTGTGTGTCCAGGCAGGCATAAGTGTCTTTCAGTTGCTACCATTAGCTCATGGGCAAAGATAAAGCTCAGAAATTAAACAGACCAATCAAATTGACAGTTTTGCCTCTAGGCTCAGCTCTCTCCTCATAAAATCTGAATAGATGATGCAGATGCTTCACCAATCCATCTGTCCACTCTTTCCCCCACTTGTGAACAAGATTCCGGGATACTTAAAAACCTGCAGCATTAACAACAGGCCCAGTACCCCATTCTCCTGAAGCATCTCCCACAGGACACCCAAGAGAGTCATAGATACATGACAGACATAGAGTGGTCAGGCAAACTCCAATGAACTGTCTTCACACAAGGCAATTTCCCATGACTCTGAGAGCTGATAGTAATCCAAACTAATGCTTGGATTAAGAGTCTTAAACCACTGTATCCCACCCACCCTTAAGCCCCAAGAAAATAGCCTCCCTGCTGACAAGCAGTTCCGAACCAAATCTCAGCTTTGTCTCCGGCCGTGGGCACAGCACTGAGCTGCTGATAGGTTTCTCATCAACATAGACCAGGCTGGTGTAGGGACAGGAAGCGTTTGTCTCTGTCAGCAGGTTGCCAGGGTGAATTCTGGGAGTTAAGCCTTCTATGCATAGCATTCTCAGTTCCCACATCTCCCTCCCCCAGCTCAGTGACCATCCACGCCAGGAACAAAACCCTGAGAATGCGAGCTATGCAGAGCTGCAGCTCGGAGACACCTGTTCAGGCAACCACCACGGGTCAAACTCTCCTACACGGAGCCTCGTCTGAGTCACAGCATTTGACCCCACCCTAACCTCCGCTGCTCCCATATACACACTCCAGAGAACTATGTGCACAAAAAACAAAAGAAAATCATCTGGCAGCAGGGATTTGCACAGTCAATTTCCAGGATGCAAACATTTGTACCTTGACCCCTTCAATCATCACTAAGAGTCCCTGAACCCACTAACCATGACAAACCTGATTTAATGAAACCCTCTGTCATGATGCCCGACTGCTGACCTCACAAACAAGCTTGAGTAATGAACTTGACTAAAATACTTACAAAGTCTCCTGAGAGACTTTTCCTGCCCATTTGGAATGCAGACTAAAGGCCTCTTACCCTTTTCTAGACAAGATTTGAAGAAAAAAAAAAAGTTGGGTTATTCCTAGTGAGCGCACAATAGGTGGCCAAAAAACTGTAGATTAAACCACACAGAGGAATGTCAGCTCTTCAGAACGTCCCCTCAGTGGCAGTGAACCATGAGGAAAAGAAGGTCATCCTCTTACTGTCTTTTTTTTTCCTTTTCACTCTCAGCCAAAGCACCACAAATGTGGTAGAAGGATACGAACAAAGTCACTACTGAGTGATGGGACACAGTTCAGGCACTTTACCTGCCAGCAAGCAGTGAGAGGTTTATTTGAAATTAAGTCACCTAGACATTGATTTAAATTTGGAAAACCCTTGAATTCAATGGGATTTTTGCCAGTGAAGTCCAGCTTTGTTTTTAATGAACTGTTTCCTCCAAACATCACTGCACTTCCTCTTTTACATGAGAGCCACATTTGGAGTCAGTGGTTATGCAGAATTTAACTTTCAAGGGACTCAGAGGAATAAGAGGAATTGAAAACAACAGCTTAATTCGGCAAATTATACTGGTGTCTTGGGTCCCTTTGACTTTTGGCCACTTCAAGAATCCCATTATAGGAAGATACTTTCACTTCTGGACTATCAGGCACTCTTAAGTAAAGATGCACAAAGGGTGTGAGCTATAATTATATGAAGGCATAGCAATAAGGATTATGAAGGAATTGTGTGAGACAAAACACACATACACCTGCTCGATCATGATTATGCACATTCAAAATATGCAAAACCAGTGGCTGAACTGGGAGGCGGTGGCAGCTGGCCAAGTGCTGAGTCTCCCGGTGTGGCAGCCCAGTCAGAGGCTTGGCGATGTCAGCCAGTGTCAAGCTCCGTGTCACCATACTTGACTTCGCAGGGCACAAGGGCTCTGTATTCCCTCTGTCCACACTACAAGGCGTGGATAGAGGGAGAAGGAGCTTTACGTTGTAGGTGTGTGTGCTTGTGGAAAGGTTGTCTTTATGCTTGGTTTGTGTGTATTTTACCAGGCTGGACTACCTGTGTCGTGTCATTAGGTTGTACGTGTAGCCGTGCATGTTGCTATCACTAATAACAACTTATCACTGTCATTTCGAAACATTGTTGTGGGCCCTGCAACGCAGCTGCGTTCACTTCCCCGCGGAAACCCAAGAAAAGCCGTCAGGTGAAATTTTATTTACTAAAAAGGCGATATTAGGAATGAATTTCACATTTCACTGCGCATATGATATCGACAGAAGGGGACGAGGTTAACATTTCCTTCGAATTAATCAATTTTACCGTGTAAAATTTGGCACAAGTCCCAGATGGTTACTTTTATATTTTGTAGGTTGGTAACAACTGAAGTTCGCTGTTAGGTTAGCGCATACAAAGCAACTCTATTACACTGTTACACGGCTAGTCTCGCTACCTATAGCCTTACGCTTTTCCCCCATGGAACCACTGCAATATTCACGGCAGCTTTTATTTTAAATACAAATATATTCGTTTGTTTTCATTGTTCTGACAGCTGTGAGGATAAATAACGTGATGGTTCTACTCACTCGGAGTTCGGAGTTGAATGGCCACGGTGTAGCTACTCCACTGGTTCTTTCGAGGGCAAAACTTTTCACTGGTTTTGTTTCCCACTTTTAAAACCGTCTGTTCTTTCCTTTGTAGACCCTTAACTCATCCCCGCTCTCTGCGGTGTGTGCTGAGCTTTCAAAACGTTACGCCTCGGCAGACGGTGCCACTCTCCAAGAATCGTAAAGTGCTCTGTCAAGGGGCTGACTTGGAAGCGGTTTGTATATTTAGACACAGCGTTAGCGGGAGGGCGTGCAACAACACAGAGCTGCTCTGAGATCTGTGCCGCGCGGAGCTTTCACCACCCAGGCAACCCCATCCGCTCGTTCATTGGTCAGTGCTTTATCGAGGTGTGTCCAGAGATTCAGTCTACATTTTAATTGGCTTGTTTTCGTTGTCCGTCATCCGCAAACGCCTTGTAAACTTGCCTTTCCGTAGTAAGCAAGGAGGCACAATTACAATTAAAAATCAGGTCGCTGAGGAAATATGTTTATGGACACATTGATGGGAAATTTACAGAAGTGCATCCAAGGCAAAGGTTATGTGTGCCAGTTTAATCATAACGAGTGAAGTATTTCATTTATCGACAAGTATCATAGTAGGACTTTTTTGTTTTGTTTTTTCTATTTAAAAAAAAAGCTGAAAAAAACGGAACTAGAAAATCAAAACCCATAAGAATCTAGTGTTCAGGTGAGTTTTTGTACCTTTCCTACTAGAGCCATAAAAGTGGTGTGATATCTCCCCCTATCGGTCATATTAAGATAGAAAGCAACAAGTTGCCCAATGAAGGGCCAGAAGTGATTTGATTTAATTCTGCTTTATTCCTAAAACAAATAAACACATACGTAAATAAATATATTAATTAATTAATGTCATTTTGATATAGCTCAGAGACATCATACACATGGTCACACGCAACACTGGACGTGTGTGAAAAAGTTCCTGAAATATGCTAACAATAGAAACACCCCCTGTTTGTGGCCTCTTGTCCCCACATTAATTTGCACTGTGAGCCAAAATGCTTAACTGCAGCTTCTTTTGTCCTCGGGCTTGGGATATGATGTGGGCTGCATTGTCTGGGAACAATGGACTCCTGCAGCCCCCTTGTGACAGCTACTCACTCTGAAACTTTAATACAACCTGGTCAAACTCTGTGTTAGGAAATGGCTTCACGTAGTACGCGTTTATTATAGTCCATAACGATTCCTTTGGGGATTTATATATTTATGTTTGGATTTGTCTTTTTTTATCATTACTATATTCCTTTCATAAATTTTTGACAGACAGATTTTTTAAAAAGTCGACTGAAAGTAGAATAGTACAGTAATTAAAAAAATGGCCCCTGTTTCATTTGTTAATCTGACAAAGGAAAGTCAGTCATTCAAAATCTTCCCAGTCGTTTGTGGTATACCATAAACCGTGTTTTAGGTAGTGCAGTTTTATTGATTGCTGACGCTTAGATGAATATCACCTGCGATGTCAAAGTACAACCACTAGATGTCAGGAGAGAACAAGTCACTGGCAGTCTCAGATCTGTCAACATGATATTTATTCACAATCGTTTATTCAGTATGGAGGACCACAAGAGCCACGTGCATTAAATCAAAATTCTGGGTAGAAAATAGTAATTTCTCCGATGCAGCAACACAGATTCACGTTTTTGCAAGTTTTGAGGGGACTCCAGTCGCTTTGTGGCCCGGATGTTGCCATAAAAAGGGGGTGTGTGTAGTTGCAGCGGTTGCAGCTAGGTTGCCAGGTCTGTAAAAAAATTGTAGTTAATGTATATATATATATATATACTCGTTATTTTTCCAAATACTTATCAGTGACGTCATAGTGCTGGCACGCGAGGTGATTTTAATGCGCCGTTAAATAATTTATGTGTAAGTTTTACATATCCACATTCGGTAATGTTAAAGTAAAATTAACAGTATTAGCTTAAAACTGTCAAAACAAATATATGTACATGGCAGAGAGCAACAAAACCTCACATATATAATGTTATTAGCATGACTTGGTAAACATTTTCTGACTTCACGAAGGCGTGCTCCTAGTGGTGGATGTGGCCTATCTGGCAACCCCGGTCTCAGCTCAGCTTCTCTGCTACGTTTGCTCGGCTGTTAGAGACACGGCTGTGAGCCAGAGTGGGAGATGGACTGAGTGAGGGCGCTCTTTCGACCAGTGCAGCCGATTTAGCATTGCAATACCCAGAAGCTAGGCTGAAAAATAACTGGCGATTTCAGGTCGCTGAATCAACACGAAAACATAGTGCAGTTATCAGTCTTTCACATCCCACTCCAATCACACTAACACGGCATTGATGGTAATGTATGCAAGGAAACAACCGAGACTCGGCGATGGGTAAACACCTCCTTTTAACCTTACTTATTCACATTTTTTTTCCTTTTCCTCATAGCTACGCTTTGACAATCCGCCATTTTTACTGAAACCAAAATAACTGTGTGGAAACTTGTATCCCTCACTCGCTGCGGGGCTTTCACCGATTTCTGAACATTGACATTTGAAGCTTAAAATTCACAACTGTTTCCTTTTTCTTTGCAGGTGCGACCGAAGAGATTCTCAGCCCTATCAGGTACTTGTTAGCCAAGCGTCTCCTGCTAGCTTGCTAGCAGCAAATAAGATTAAAATGGACACTCTAGTGCAGGCTTCTGGAGAGCACAACAGGCCCCAGTCAGTGCGGAAAATAACACAAAAAGTAGAAAGGTTTGCTTAAAGCCTCCATTTAAGCCCTGTAAATATATCCTAACGTTAGCATTGCTAGTAAAGACTTGACAGAGTGAACATATTCGTCGAAGTCGGCTGTTTTGAAAAAGGTACGGGCGAGTTTTATTACAGCTGAAAGCTAATGATAGATTGTTACTGTTAGCTTGCTTGCTAGCCAGTCCGATTAGGGCCTGACCGCAATCTGTCATTTTAAGGATATAGCCAGTTAAGCTTCCTTAATATCAAAGTGTTTGATATTTATACAGCAAACCAGTGAATTCACTACCTAATTCAAATCGCGATAGCCAAGTGAAATGGCGAGCTAATACTCATAGGTCGAATAAAATGTTGTTTACTTCGTCATTTAACATGTGTTAGTTTGCATGCATACGTTGTTATGAGCAGAAATACGGGCACAATTAACGTGGCTGTTAAATATAAGCTTATAGAAGGGACGAAGTCGATAAATAAGCTGCTCGATTTATATATATATATATGCATTTCCTCGTGCTAATTAATTTCTGCATCATTCAAACTGAATGAAATGACATGACAGTACTTTCAAGAGCTGAGGACTCTGCTCACCATGGCTGCTTTTAGAAACCTGCTAATGGTGATAACAGAAGTGTAGGCCTATTTTAAGTGTGAGGTTTTTAGTAAAGCGTTTGATTTGTGTTTACAGACTCTCAAATACTCATCCAAGAGCCATCCAGGAGGGGACCACCGGCATGACAAGATGCGAGACTCTTCAGACGTCACCCCTCCCTGCAAGATGCTCAGGAGGTCTGACAGCCCTGAAAACAAGCACATCGACAGCACGGGACACAGTAGAGCAAAGGGTGTCCACACGCACCGCGCCAGAGACAGGGATGGAGGTGAGAGCGGCGAATAAAATGAGTTTAGAAAGAAATAAAGCTGCTCTCTTTAATTACTGCAGAAACAGGTGCTCTTTCTCTTAGTGAGGCGCTGTTTTGTTTTTTTGTTTTTCTTACAACTGAGTGCTTCAGTATTGAAACTGCAGCTGTCAGGTTTTACACTGTGGGTAATCCGGCCGTGGTAGTTTTTGAACAAACAAATTTAAAATAAACGCGTTGTTAAGCTGTTGCTATGTGCTTTAATTTTAACCACTGAGCATTAGTCTCTGCAGGTTGCATTTGATTGAATGAATGGTTATCGTGGTTTCCAACCTCACAGGTAGATGTTCTGCGAGTACAGTTAAAGTTCAGACCAGAGTAAGACCACACTCTGCACAGACATTCAAGTCTTGAAGGACACGTTTTGTGGAGGGGAGTAACTGCTTTTGTTTCTTCGCCTTGGTCAACTGCTAATTTTAACAACATTATTTCAGTACAGTTTTGTCAAAGTGGACTTTTTTGGTAAACTTTGAGTAACTGGCACGCAAGCAGTTGAGTCCATGCGTGGAGTATTGTGGTGTTTTGAGCTCCTTTTCAGACATGCTCTCCTCTCTGGAATCGGAGTGTGTCAGCTGTCCTGGTCACTTTTCTGTAAAAAGTCACTACAGCAAACTAATGCTACTTGAACACTAGTAACAGTGCCACAAGTTTGCATGCAAGCAGCCACATGATGGATAGGCTCTCACAATATAAGGACAGCATGTGTCTTTCTTTTCCAGATGAAAACAGCTGTTTGCTAACTTGTTTGACCTTTAGGCATTGGCCACATTTCATTACATTCCAGCACCAAAGATCCATTTTGCATGTTTTTAAGTGTAGGAAGTGTATCCATACTAGGGGTGGGTGATATAAACGATATATGATATAAACGATATAAATTTGGCCAACGATATAGATTTTGACTATACCGCTCTATCGCGATAGCGCATGTTGATGATGTCATCAAGCTACGCCTGTTTTGGTCGAAAGCATCGCAGCGGCTACAACCATAATCATCTGCAAATTATGCCGGGCAACAGTCATAGCAAAGAGATGAAGCACTTTTGAAATATGGGGAAAGCCAAAAACTGCGCTTCCTCCACTTCCATAACATTGATTCATTAATGTTGAATTCTCTCGCAGCTGCTCTATTCCCATGTTGTTGCAGTATATTAATAACTAACCTCGTATTGTGGATGAATGATCTCAGTTGTTCTCCTGACTGAAGTTTGGCCCGTTTATAGCATCCTGCTATGCGATTGCGTTTGTCTCTGACCACCAGAATCCCTCACATTAACTTTTATCGAGTGGAAAAAAGTTGGCGTTCATCCTCCAGCTTCACTGTGCTAATGTTATGCTAACATAGCTGTGTCGCTAGCAATCACGTAGCACAACATTATATACCAGGTAGTCCAACTTCAGTAACCCTGCAAACGTCACTGCTGTTTAGTTTTCTGTCTTCATTTATGTTGGAAGTGGTAGCAGAGCTGTACGTTTTAATTAGTTTCAAAAATCTCTCAGTCAGAACATGGTATGTCATGTTTAGGTGGAAACTAGCGAGCTAACTTCCTGCTAACTTCTCACTCCGTTAAATTT